CACATGCTGACGATTTCATGATGTCAACAACCACTTGATAGTTTTGATCCCATCTGAGTCTGAACACATATTCTGATTGGTTGAATTGAGAAAAAGAATGGCATGAAATTAATAACGTGTTGTGCAACCACAGCACTTCATTCCTGAAAAAAACATGAAGTGCTAAATTCACCATTAAAATCCAAGAAAAAAAATTCAATTTAGGACTCAAAGAATGCAAAAATAGTTCCGGACTTCCAAGAGTCCGGAACTTTTCTAGATTTGAGAGCTATTTTGCACAGCCCTATGCATGAATAAAATGGGAGAAAATACAAAGCGGCATGATGAAATTTTTAGTCGGTGTGGCGATCTGGCACCAGGGATTTGAGGCCTAATCATAGTGATCATACATGCAGTACCACTATCAATGATAACATTGTAGCAATGATACCAGGAGCAATAGCCATCCAGTCTGCATGAAGCCAATCCAAATGTTGTCATTGCTTCTCAAAAGAGCCTCATAAACCAACTATGTATTTCATTAAACTAAACTTTACAGGACACTAATGATATTATACAGATTTATGTCAATGATGGACATAAATAAAACAACAAAAACAAGATTATTAAAATTCGTTAATTTAAAGAGGAGGAATAGAGATCTTAAAGAAATACAGAAACAGTTTAGGTAATTTTTTAGTGAAAATGCAATTGCAAAAAAAGGAAACAAACAAACTTAGGGTTTTAGACATCATGTTGACGTTAGTTTCTCAAGCTACAAATCCCTATTTTTACTCCATGTCTAAAAGCTCTAATATTTAGAATAGTCAAAATAGGGACTTGTAGCTTCATGAAATAATGTCAACTCTATATCTCAAACCTTAAGCTTGTTTGTTTACTTTGTTTTGTGATTGCATTTTCACTTTAAGCTACCTATCTTATTTTTGTATTTTCTATTCCTCTTTTTTAAATTAACAATTTTTAATAGTCTTGTATGTATTTAAACATTATATCAGGAATGAGGTTTTTCTTCTTGTACAAAAGTGACATTTCTTATATTTGTTCTGGTCACTTCGCCATGAAAGTCCTTCTGGTTCAGTGAAGTTATGTGTTCTTTAAAATATTTTATTAATAATGAAGTGTATGCATTGTTACCCACAAAACTAAAAAATACCTTTGCATCTCAATATTATGTTACATATGTGCATGTTTCTGTTCATATGACACTTATGATTTTTCATTTTGTATTGCATTAGAAAGGTGAGAGAATTCGAGTTATTTTAGACTGTGAAGACAATACTCTAGCATTTGAACGTAATTATGAGTTCCTTGGTGTTGCATTTCGTGGACTTCCTGACAAGAAGCTCTACCCAGCTATTTCTGCAGTATATGGAAACACAGAAGTCTCAATGGTGTATTTGGGTCATCCTTTGGATGGTTGATAGAAATATCAAGTTGTACAATCAGTTTTATACAAAATTACCCAAGTGATCATAAGGTAAGTGAATAAAATTAGTTCATTTTAAAATTGAGTTGAATTTGGCCATTCCAATCACCAGATTTGTAAAAATCAAGTTTTTTATTTACACTTAAATTTAGGTGTATCTTGTAACTACTATACATGTATCTTTGTAATTTTAATGTCAGGGCAAGTAAACATCAGATATAACTAGTAAGGAGCTTGATCATTGTCATGTTTTTCAAGCAGCTTCAAAAGGAAAAAAATGGAAGGAAACTTATTCCTGAGCAAATGTTTTTGATAATTTTTGCTGGATTATGTACAAATTCAAGATGAAACAGTAATCTTAATTACATATGAAAATTGCTTATGTAAAAATTTTTTTTTTCATGTATTTTCAATTAATTGGTCTCCAAGTTTTCTTCAGGTCTTGTATATACGTAACATCCATTGACACTAACCACTTACGTGTATCTCACATATTCAGGAAATGAATAATATGCCAAAATTTCAATAGCCATATATTTTTGCAAAAATTCAAGCCTTTCCTTAAATTTATAATAATTCACTATCCTTTGATTTCTTGTTATTGGATTCCTTGGCTTCTTTAGGTTCGACTGAATTTGCTTTCTCACTCAGGATATGTAAGAAATTTCTTTAACGGATGCTATTAAAAACTGTTTTGGGTACTGTGGAGGACATGGTTAGTTGTACATGTATGTTGTTCAAGAGCATTTGGTAATAATTGACATTTCATTATTACCTTTCATATGTTTATGTAGAACAGACCTGGATAAGTTTATGTTGAACCATGATTCTTAGGAAAATCAGATTTTAGTAATTATGATGAGAGAGACTGATCTCAATGAATGAAATGTGAAGCATTGGTTATTATATACACTAGATAAATTATTTTTCTTTCAGTTAAAAATTTGTGGAATAGTTTTCATGTTGGTGTGCTTTGTGTTTTAGTTTGAACTTGTTAATATATGTATGTATGAATAAGGATGTGTGCATCTTAATTAGGATGGTGATCTTGTTGAAGTTATTTGATAAGAAAAAAGATTGACTTTGATAGGTTAATTTTGTTTTCTGTTACCCTGCTTGCTTTTCTCTGTCATGTGTGCTCAAATGAATTATCTTACCCTAGATGTAAGATTTAAGGAGGTGCCATCATATATATTAAGAAAGATGTAAATTATGGGTTTGACCAAAACAGTTATCTAATGTATTTCTCTAATCTATTTGGGTATGTATGCAAACTATTATGTGAGAGTCATTTAACCCTATCTATACAGGTAGCTAGGAGTCAGAGGGCATGTCATCACGTTTGTAGACTTATTTTCAAAAGTTCATTGAACTACCATTTTATGAATGTATGTCAATAGATTTGGTATCAAATTATAGATTTTAATTCAATTTTAGGATTATACATTTGTTAATTTCTTAATTTGAAAGTAAATTAAAAACAACTAAATATCGATTTTTGTGTGTTACACTGGTATGTTATCTTCTGGGTTTGTTCAGATTACATTTTATGATGCCCACAATACAATGTCTATAGTTTGCATATAAATTATAAACTCAAATTTCCAATATTGGCAAACTAGAATATAAAATAAGAACCTCATACCTTTGCTGAGATATAATATTTATTGAATCCATCATATTGGCTCCACCCACCACTTGATCACTTGAGAAGACTTGTTTATCTGCTCCTGCTTTTTTATGGTTATAAGCTCTACATTTCTCTATGTAATTCTGTTAGTCTTTCTAAGTTACTTATGAGAAAAAAGATCTTATATTGTTGGAGAGTATGAAGTATTATGATCAATGCTATTTTCTGAACAGAAATTAGATTTTTTTTTACTGAACTACAGTAGCATTGGTATAGTATTTTATAATTTTTTGGTATTTAAACATGCACATATAAGGTCAACAAAAATTATTTTTTTTACATCGACATATGAATTTGGACAAGGCTTACAATGAGGGTTAGCATGTATGACTCACAAGTGCAAAAAAGAACTTCAAAACATCGTAAGTAGTGGAGATCATTGTTTTCTGAATATTTTTTATTTACTGTTCTATGTTTTAAGAAAAATAACTAAAATTTAAATATTTATTTGTAAATAGTAATAATATATATATATACATATGTAATATATGGTAACCAAAACCTCACTGTACCTTACAAAATATTGGAAACTATGCATTTATTGGCTACTGTATAAGCATGTAAAATAGGAAACAGGATGCTCATAAGCGCTTTCACACCTATATTACCACTAAATCCCAACCACCCAACTTTATTGGATCGGATACAACTTTGTACAGAGCCATATTGTAAATATTTTCTCTCACTTTTGTACAGTACTTTAGACAATTCTGTTTGCAACTACTGTACTGTGTAAACAAGCTGATAAATCCTACCCCACTGTGTTTTCAGAGCCGGGATTTGAATAAACTCTGCAGGAAATGTCTGCTTATCAATCAGCATCCAAATTTATTGGATCGGCCTAGACTTTCTACAAAGCCATAGCATAAGCATTTGATAATATTTTAGACAATTCTCATTGTAACCATTATACTTTCAACAAGTTGATAAACCTTATCCCACTGTGTTTTCAAAGCAGGGAAAGTTCTGGTAATTGTGCTGCAAAAGCTAATTTGATATTGATGGTGTAATAGTACTCAAAATATGGTAACACCTAAAGAGGAATGGTGATTCATTGCTTTATATTCGGCAGGTTTCTACTTCAGCAGCTTACAGTAGAAAAGGAGGCCACTTTAGGATAAGCTGCCTTTGATTTGTTTGTCTTCTGTTGGTTCCTCGAATGTGTGATGTTGCTTTTGAGCCTGCACATTACTTGATGGCTGAAAGGTCTGGGAACAAATGCTTAGTTTTTTCTTCATACACAGATCTGTGGCTCATGCTGAAAGGTTTACTTCTCAGTTACATGAAGGGACAGTTAGGCCTTATACGACACAATGTTGTTACTTCGTGATTTAGCTTTCTACCACTGGATGGAAACATTTTCCGACTCTCAAATACTACATCTGCTCCTTGAATTTTCAAGGTTCAAAGGTGGACTTTGTAGTTCACCTGAGAAGTTCAGTGTCTCCTGATGGGACAGAGTAAGTCTACGGACTTACAACTCCAAAATTCAACATTTTGTTTTCCTTTCACTTAATTTTATTGGGAGACTATCAGGATCACCAATTTCATTGATGACGAGCTGAATCCATTGTTAACATGCATGTTGGGTCAATTTTCAGTTCTACATTCATCCCTGTTGTCATTGGAGTATTGATTTACATTGGTTCCTACAGGAGGTCATAGTCACAATTAGTTGTTCAGTTCACATTTTCACCACTCTTATCCACCCAACCTATAGTGTTTCCATCTCCTACAGTTCACCGGGATTTGGAACTCATTAGTTCTAGGGTGATCTATATTTGGTTGGTCTGGGGATAGTGAGAGAGTTGTGCTAGTTCTTCAAAGTTTTTATTCCTTGTCAGTTGTTGGGCCTATGCAGACAGGGTATTAGTGTCCAGCCCTCAATCTTTCTCACTTATCCATATCAATACCTAGATTTTCCAAGATTCACAAATTCCTCATTCCTCAATCTGTGTTGATTTTTTTACTGAGATTGTAGATGTCCAAGTTGGTTGTAGTCAGCACCTATCTGCGTTTGTTGTGCACAAAGGTCAGGTACTGCAGCTCTGAGTTTTAACCTTTGGACTTGCATTGGCTTCACATGGGTTCTCGTCACCTTCATTCTACTTTTAGAATCAACCAAGGCAGGTTTCCCTTTCAGGATTGAGACATCTGTTCTTGCTCCAATTCTATATGTCATCACTCTGGATATTTTTTATTTTTCATCTCATCTCTTAGTCAGGCTCAATGTATAGAATAGGATGCCACACTCTTATTTACCTCTCCTTCTCCCACTGCATGGATGGTTCTTTCTCTTCTGGGAATGTGGGCATCACTAAAATCCTTCTTGTCTTTTTGATGAGAACACAAGCAATCCTTTTATTGGTCTTTATGCGGCCAGGAGATAATAAACATTGATTCACTGGTTTTCCCAGTTTCCTTAGTCATTTTTTCATCTCGAGGAGTTGTTAAGTCAGGACACTACTACGATATAGGTTTCTCTACTGCCACCTCATCCAGAGTTCCATCTCTTCATGAAGGCCTTGGGGTGCATATACCAAAAGTCAGGAATTCCAGGATCTATGCACAGATGAAGAAGATTCCCTACACAATATTTTCCTCTTTCTTGCTCTTCAACAGGCAATGCTTCATGGTCTGGACTTATTAAGGGATAAATTATCAGGCTTCACTCTGATAATTCCATGGTAGTGTCTTGTGTTTCTCATCAAGGAGGTGCGTGGTCTAGGTATCATTGTTTTCAAATTTTGGACTTCCTTTCTCAGTACCTTTTCTGTTCTATCACCCTGCTAGCTTGCCATGTTCCACAGGAATGCCTGTAGTAGCAGGTTAATTGTCTCAATCCATTACAAGGTTCTGTTGGATTGGCTCTCATTTTGCCACTCTAATTGGTGGGTTGGCCTCTCATTGGATCATCAACTACTGGCAAGTTGGTTTCCAGTAACTCATCTTTGGGCTTTTGCGATAGATGCATTCCATCAGGATAGGATGAGATTACAACTCGAAGCCTTCTCTCTATTTCATATGTTACCCAGGGTAGTAAATATGATTAGTTTTAAATCATTGTCAATTCCTGTTGAATGCACCAAATTGGCTGCTACGCACGGGTTTCTGCTTCTGTGGTCCCTTCTGATGTGTCCAACTCTTCCATTTCTTTTTAGGCTGTCTATGTGGAGGCAGCTATGATCTGATATGGTACATCTGGCTATATAGAAGCTCAAGCTTTTGGTATAGATGTTATGTTTTATTTCCCACGGCATTGGGGTTTAATTTCTAAGGTTGCCATGTGTCTGTCTCAGATTTTGCTAAGTCCGAAAGGTACATTTGTCAACGATAATGACTTGCATATCGGCAATGGTGT